ACACGATTAATTTTTTTAATCACTTGACAGCCCTTGTTTCTGTCTTTCTTATTAGAAAGATGTTGACTCTTTCAATTAGGGGGCAAGATCAGTAGAACAAGTATGAACCTATCTCTGCCTTACAATGATAAGTGCATAAATAAATACCCACACTATCCTTCTCAAGTGTCTTTTTTTAAAAAAGCTGTTTTATGGGTATTTTTTTTTTTTTAGTTTTTTTTTTTTATAAAATTTTATAAACCCCAAACTCTGATTCTTATGTATCTGTTGCTTTGGGAGCCAGATATGTATTTTTTTTAAACATGAAAACATGCCACATTGAACTGGTGTTTGAATATTAAATCACTTGGATCATGTGTTTCAAACTGAAATACAGCTGGAAGATAAGGAATTAAGTTATCCCTCTTCCTCATGAAACCCATGCTCATTTTAAAATACTCTTCTAATGAGCTTCAGAAACTTAAGAGTAGGAGTAATATAACCAGTAGTTCTATTAGGTTTGTACAGTCCCAGCTTGTTCTGGATCTTCATTCAGCTCCTTATGTAAACTTGCTCTACTCAGTGGCAGCTTTTGACAGTGGTTATGTCCAGTGGTAGCCTGTCACCCCAGTGGATGGTAAGAACTGAGTCCGGAATCAATGCAGAGGCACTTAATTTTGGTGAGAAGCCAAGAATGTTTGGTGAATTCAACATGAATATTGGGGGGTTGAGGAACACTGCAGTGTTTGTGTAAAGAAACACCCATGATATGCAGCAGCAGTAAGGCCATGTCTACACTACTACTTATGTCTGCAAAACTTGTCGCTCGGGGTGTGAAAAAACCACCCCCCTGAGCAACATAAGTTACGCCAGCATAAGTGGTAGCATGCACAGTGCTATGTCAGCGGGAGAGGCTCTCCTGCCGAAATAGCTACCGCCGCTTGTTGGGAGTGATTAAATTACGTCTATCCGAGAGCTCTCTCCCTTCGGCATAAAGCGGCTACACGAGATCTTACAGTGGCACAGCTGCATTGCTACAGCTGTGCCGCTGTAAACTTGCCAACTGTAGTCCTAGCCTTAGTGTTACAGAGCCCCTCTGACAAAGGAACCCTGTCTTTCATGATGTCAAAGCATGAGAGGGGCTATAGTTGGAGCACAGTGACACCTGCAATCCAGAAAGTTGTTAATCTGTGGATTTTTCTTAACCATAACATTTTAATCTAGACTTGTATTTCAGTCAAAAAGTTATAATATGTTGCACTGTAAATCACTGTGATATGACAGTTTGACAGTCAAACACAAGCTACTTTCACCATGGTTACCATGGTATGTTTTTAGCAATTAAATGGTCAAATTTAATATGACATTTACAATAGAACATTCTTGGGGTATGTGTTCTTTATTCCCAGGTAATGGCTTTAAAAAAAATTTTTTTTAATCTTATGAAACCAGATGGGCATGTGAACAGTTCATTTTGTGAAGGACTAGACTTACCATAGTTGTGTTGCCTTTGTTCAACCTATGCTGAAAGGATAAGTCCATTCCCTCAAGACATGTTCTTGTTGTGTCCTTCTCTCCCCCCATCAATCCCCAGAAAATGAACTAGAATAAGGATCACAATCCATATAGATATGATTTAAATCCACCTCACCACTGAAAAATTTTAAAGTCCTTCTGCTCCCAATTCAGGAGAACACTTAAGCATATACTTTAAAATTAGGCACATGTTTAGGTGCTGTCTAGAACAGAGACCAGTTTTAAGTATGCCTACAAAGTTACAAAGTGGTGGGCTTACTGTGTCTGTGTACATCAGCTAAGGTAACCCTGACACATTTCTATCGCAATATACATTCCTGATGACCCTTGGGCACAAACAAAGAAAACTGTCAATACCGAAGTTTGTCAACTTTTGTTCCACTAGAAATATCATAAAAAAAAAAAAAAAACTTGTGTTGGCCAAATTGAAAAGCACACTTTTCCAGGTTTTAACAATTTAAGATTGGGGCGGGGGGGAACACTTACACTAATTATAAATACATGATACATACTATAATAAAAATAGCTGATGGAAATCAGTCCTGCAGTCACAAGAACTTTCTCCCAGGGTAGGAGAGGCTGGGACTCCTGCAAAGCACTGTTGCTCTGCCCTCTGTGTCTGTCTTCTCTGTACAAAATTGTCAGTGACCAGCCTCCAATGAGGGAAGATTGTTGTAATGTCTTTGAGGGAAGAGAACAATAAAAGAAAAGAAAAAGGGGGGAATCCAAGAAGTTACCTTGTAATTTCTATGGAAAAAATTGCTTAGTGTGATGAAGGATGCATAACAAAACACTGGGAAAACATTTGTTTAGGTATTTTTCATGTATTGTAGCACCTAGGTGCTAATGTAGTCTACTTAAAACTGGCAGATGCCTCTTCAGTAATAGAAAATTTTATCCCTACTTGAGCTTTGTACACAGGTGTTTCTTGTTCAGAAGCTTCTTATTACTAGCAACCATTCTCTTGAGGCGAGAAAATTACCCAAGCTCAAAAAGAACAATGCCATAATTAGTGGAACATTTTTACAGGACTAGCAAATATAAATTATCTTAGCGGAATACTGAAGTGGAAGGAGGATTTGAAATGGGTGCTGGAGTTGCTTCCTGTTACACTACTGTATTTCTTCTCTGCATTCTTTCCTATAGCTATTGCATAACTGCATTCTGCAAGCATTACTGTAAGTTAGTTTGAGGTCAAACTCAGATAATGCGGACAGATGTGGCACAAGCATGTGATGTGAACAAGCTTGACTGGGCCTTGTGATGTTCCCTTTCCTTTTCTCCAAACCGTTTGTGATTGCAAGGCAGATTGGCAGAATTTACTGCTAAGCAGTTAGTCAAGGATTCGGACTTTGAACTCTTTATGTGGGAGAATGCCTGAAGCTAGGATATGGTAGCTATTTAGATTCATTGATTTCATTCCTGTGACTTAGTGGGCTGCAAGCTTTTATTTGTAACCATTAATAAAGAGACAAATCCTTGATCTTTGAACTGTTTTTCTCACTATTCAATGTATGTTCTGACTTGTCATGAAGATTCCCCTTCCCTCAATAAACGCTATCAGCGGTCTGATATTTGTTTATAGGTTAGGAAAAAATATGACCAATTACCTGAAATGAAGATTCTCCAGGGTTTTATGTTCAGTGGGTTTTAACTTCTATTCATGCTCCTTTTTATCCCCCTGTTCCTCATCCCTCAGATGAGATCACGGCTAGCTTTCGTCGCTTTGGTCCTTTGATTGTGGATTGGCCGCACAAGGCGGAAAGCAAATCCTATTTTCCTCCTAAAGGTAACTATCATGATGTTAACATCGTTTTAAGAACTATTGCAGAACCAGTGACTGTATTTTTCAGTGTAAGAATTTGAAGTGTAATTTTCATTATGTAAAAGATCTTCATGTTCACTGCTCCCCCGTACCATGCTGAAAATATCCCCGAAAATCATGATGTAACTCAAATCCTGCAGGATGTTGCAAGTAGGTGGACTGCAGCACAGTGCATGATAATACACATTTAAAATAATTACTCGTACTTCACTTCCGGTCAGACTCCCCTTTCTTTCTCTGTGCCTTCTTCCTCTCATTTCTCTATTCTTTACTCTGCCTGACCTCTTATTTACTACATCATATGTAAAATATTAGACTAGCGCTGTGTAAGGGGAATGCACAGCTAAGCAGCCCAGGGAAGAAATTGTACCTCACATTCACAACTCACCTGTGCTGGCAGGATGGAGGCAAGGCTCTATCTGTTTCCACCTCTTTGCTTGCTTCCTCCCCACCAGTGCGAAAGGGATAGGGAGGAGAGAGTACTGAACACATAGCTCTTATTTTCCCTCCTGCTTTTGGAGGCATGCTGGGCGGCCGCATGGGGGAGCATTTGTGTGTGTTGGGGGGTGTCTTACTGTTTACTCCCTCTTATACTGCAGTGTAATCATGTGGGATCAGCGCATAGTCTGGCCCTAAATAATGACACTAAATATTATAAACTATAAAAAACTAAATCTCTTGGAATCTCATCAGGAATCTTGCAAGTCTTCTTGTTCTCTTACCTAGGATATGCGTTCTTGCTGTTCCAAGATGAAAGCTCTGTACAGGCTCTGATTGATGCATGTATTGAAGAGGATGGAAAACTCTACCTTTGTGTCTCCAGCCCCACTATCAAAGACAAACCGGTGGGTAACATTTTCAAGTACTTTAGAGTTGGTATAAAATAAGTTTATAAATTGTGCACTGCAGATGTCATGCATATTTTCTGACTTCAGTGAAACAGATTAATGTCCAAAGAGGATGGTACGGTTATATGCATTATGTACTAATACTACAGTACTACAGTAACTATGGGCCCAATCCAAAGCCTAGTGACTCCCACTCATTTCAGAGGGCTCTGGGTCAAGACCCTCTGTCGGCAGCCATTGTTGCTTAGTAAATAAACTATGCATAGCCTTGCATGCTGGAACTATTGAAATAGTGATTAGCCTGATGTCTACAGTACCGCTTACTCTTTCAGAACACCACAAATAATCATGAATACATGTGTATTTATATAGCATGGTTGGATTGTGATAATGCATCACATTAACAGGAAGAACTTGTATATCTCATACAAGTTAAATAACAAGGTGAAATCTGATCTGCTTAGGTCACCATTAATAGAGCATATTGGCATTAACTCCTAATTGGTAGTTGATGTACAGTTTGAAAGTGAGTTCAAAGTATAGTCATTGATACCATTTTAAAGTTTTTACCATCAGGGAGGCTACATTGTAACTGACAGTTGATATTGCTAAAATACTTACCTCAACTCTTAATCTGAATTAGGAACAGTAAACAAGTTTGTTTTCTGGCCATAGGTTCAGATCAGGCCTTGGAATCTCAGTGATAGTGACTTCGTGATGGATGGTTCGCAGCCTCTTGATCCACGAAAAACTATTTTTGTTGGTGGTGTTCCTCGGCCATTACGAGCAGGTATACTACATGTGTTGCAGCTTTGGCATGTTAATTCTGGCATGTTGTACAATCAGCCTTACTGCTTTGGGAGAACCCTGGGAGTTTTTTCAGCAGGACATCTCGGGAGAAAAAATATATTTTATATTAAACATACAAAACATATATTAGTGTTTGAAAAATGTAAGTATTGCTGATGCTATGTAACTGTAGCTAGAGACAGGAGTACAAATAAACGTGCACATTCGATGCTTAGAATGGAAGAAAGGGGATTTAGAAAATAAAAATCTACCTAACTGTGTTTGTGTTTTCTGCTTTAGTGGAGCTTGCAATGATAATGGACCGGCTGTATGGAGGTGTATGCTACGCTGGAATTGACACAGATCCTGAGCTGAAATACCCAAAAGGAGCTGGGCGGGTTGCATTTTCTAATCAACAAAGTTACATAGCTGCTATCAGTGCCCGCTTTGTTCAGCTGCAGCATGGAGAGATAGATAAACGGGTAAGGGCTAAAGCACATTTTGTTCAGTGTCTTCTCTAGAAATGTGTTGTTTCCATGTAAATATCAATGTTTCATTGTGAAGATTATAAATGTTACATTCAGACTTACTGCATGCTTAGATTTACATTGTGCCATGTTAGCACAGCCCAGAAAAAGGAGCAGTCACAGCGTATGGTGCGCTGGGAGGTAACCTAGAGGTAAAATACATCCTTGAACTTCCTGGTACAGGGGGGAAGAGATCATGCCAGCTGCCATACCCCTTCACAGGGGTATAGAATACTCCCACTGCTAGGCTGTCTGACTCTGAAGGCTGGGGCAGAGGGATGGACTGAAGCATTCTTGAAAGAGGGAGCAGTTCTTGCTCTTTCCCCACCTCCACTGCGCACCAGCATAAAGGATAGGCAGAATCTGTTGGTGTGTGTGTGCGTGTGGGTGGGTGTACAGTCATAGAGGCCAGGAGGGAGGGGGGTGGTTGTGTGTGTGTATATGTAAATAGTCATAAAGGCCACCAGATCATCTAGTCTGACCTTCTGTATAACTTCGGCCACTAAAACCACCCAGCACCTGCACACTAAACTAAGAAACTGAAATTAGACCAAAATGTTACAGCCCACAGAAGACTAGACTGGTTATGAGGTGCACCAATGCCAGAGGTCCCTGCAATGGTAGGGAATTAAGTGGCATATAGACACACAGTCCTGGCAAGTGACCCACCTGTCGGGGCAAGGCAAAATCCCTCTAAGGTCACTTTGAATCTGATCTGGGGGAAATTCCTTCCTGACCCCACATATGGCAATCAGTTATATCTTGAACATGTGAGCTAGAACCAGCTAGCCAAGCACCTGGGAGAGACTCTGCTCGGTGCCACCTCGGAGCACTGGCCTATCTCCTCCAGTGTCCCATCTCCAACGGTGACCATCTCTGATGCTTCAGAGGAAGGAGAACCAAAAAAAAAAAAAAAAAATCACCCTACCCAACAGCAAAAATACATTGGGGGAGAAAAATCCCTTCCTGACCCCAGTAGGTGACTGCTAAGGCAGGAAATTTGGGGAATGTTCCCAAAAGAGCATCATAGGAGTGCATTGTACAGCATACTGTAAGTATTCTGGTATAGCCTCATAACAACTCTCCCCACCTGCCTTAGCGGTTTCAGTATTTTGTCATGTCAAGTTAACTTTTTAAAGAAGAGACAATTAAAGAAGGAGCACAGTTGTCCTCACTCTAATGTACCTGAAATTAGTGTGCCAGTTGTATCAGGACTGTGTGCACCTCTGCCTGTTGTGTCTGCTTCACATGTAAGAAACCCAGTTTGGTCATCTGAAAGGCTTCAGTGTTCTGGACTATAAATGAAACAGGCTTTCAGGTCATTATTGCCACTCTTTGCTCCATTAAGTGCTACATTTCAGGTTTTTCTTTCTGCAATTGTGTAGTCTCTCATTTTCTCTTCGAAAAACTTTCCCTAAAACTCCAGCAGTCTCTCACTACCATTGGATGACAGAACTGCTCTTATAATTTTACTTGCACTCTGGGCTCAAAGTCTGGGCAGACAGGTGATAGGTAGTCTTTCAGTGATTTGAGCATGGCACTGGGAATCAGGAACTCCTTTGCCCTAATCTTAGCTCTGATATGGATTCCTTCTGTGGTTTTGAACAAGTCACTTAAGGCCCAGTTGTTCAACTTCTGCTGCATAAGTGAGCATGTGGGTGAATAGTCCCACTGAAGCCAGTAGGACTGTTCATCTAGTAAGTCCTTGCTATTATGAGTAAGGATTGTACAATCAGGTCTATCACCTCTGCCTCGGTTTCTCCATTTGTGATTAAAAAGAAATGGGGGGGGATGACGGTAGATGCTGGGAGGATTCATTGGAAGAACACTTTGAATGTGCTAATGGTAAAAAAATACTGAATGTTATTGTTACTAAATAAAACTAAACACTGCTAGACTTCAGAGATCAGTATCAAAACATTCATATTCTTCTAGATATAGAGTACTGAGTTACACTGATTGCATATTTATGACCATCTCTTGGAACCTGGAAAGGTTCTCCCCATTACTCCTTCTCTTAAGAAAAAGGAAGCTACAGAGTGTCAATAGGATTTTCTTCCTCAGCTTTCTGTGTTGAACAATGAGGGTGGCAAGAATATAGTTGACATCAGTTCACGTCCTCCCTTCACATTTTCAAAAGGGAGCTTGTTGTCTCTGTGCTCACTTTTACTACTTTCTCAAAATAAAACTGGCAGTTCTTCTGGCTAGTCAGATATAGATTAAATTCTCAGTGGTGACTGGCTTCCTTTGGATGCAGGTGAGAGGAGGAACCACAATGGAGCTGGATGCAGCTCCCTGAATCTGGGGTCTATTCTATCTTGGCCCAATTCCCAGTGTACTTTAGAGCAGTCTCTCTATGCTCCAGAAAATATGCCAGCTGGTGGGTCCACATTGGGTCGTCTTTAGCTGGGAATTGCAAGAGTGTAGCGTGCTCTGACCATGCTCCTTTCCCTACCCCTCCTTGTTTCCTACATAGGGATTGGCATGGGAACTACGTGTACAATAGTCAGAACTCTTCCATACCAAGAAAATCCTTAGCTAGGAAGATCTGTGTGCTTTTGGGCTTTTTTCTTGTGCCAGAGTGGCACATAGGGGCTAGATTACTGCTCAGAATCTTGTCCTGAATGTCAGTTGGTATAGTTATATTGTTTAATCTATCCTGTTCAAGTCTTACTATTAGTAAACAAGTAGATCAGTTACATCTCCTACTGCTGACTGGACTAAGTTGAAGTACTAGAGGAAGATGAAACAAACTAAGTGTAGCATCATTTGTTAAAGGTGTGAATGAAATTCGCAAATAAGTGGAAATATGGACTTTGGACTTTTCAAATGTTGGAGTGCTTAAGCTGCAATTTTAATGTGTAAATTTACATTCCTGGCTGAAAGGGAATTTTGTGAATAATAATGCCTGTAACTATATTTAAAATAGATCCCCAGCATCCTCCTTTGATTTTAATATGAACCTGTTCACACAAGTTCTGGAACGAAACTGATTGATTCACCCTTGTGCTGACAGCTGCTTGTTCAGCATTGATTTTCAGCAGCTAGTGGCTTTCTTAAACTGACTCTGAACCAAAAACAAAAAAGCACAAACTACTGAATCCTGAACAAATGTAAAAAGGGGGCAGGATTGTTCTTTCAACAAACAAAACAAAGAACCTATATTTATTTTTTGTCAGTCTTTGACGCCTGCAATGAGAACGGAAAGGACGTGTGTGTGTGTGTGTGCATGCGCGCAGTACTGACGACTACAGAACCTTGATTAGGGCATCAGGGTCCTGCCACAGTATAAATAATAGCATACATTGGGAGTATCAACTGCACAGTTACTAAGTATTGTAAACTTTCTTGTGTTTTGAATGCAGGTGGAAGTTAAGCCATATGTCTTGGATGATCAGCTGTGTGATGAATGTCAGGGGGCCCGTTGTGGTGGAAAATTTGCTCCATTTTTCTGTGCTAATGTTACCTGTCTGCAGTATTACTGTGAATATTGCTGGGCTGCTATCCATTCACGCGCTGGCAGGGAATTCCACAAGCCCCTGGTGAAGGAGGGAGGAGATCGCCCAAGACATATTTCATTCCGCTGGAACTAAAAGATTACTGCAGTGCTCATATGCAGGCCTCAAAATAAGTGCACTCTTCTGTTATCCTGATCCCCTCCCCGCCATCCCCCTTATTCAAGATAGCATGTCCTTTTGTAGTAGTCTGTAATTTAACAATAGTATAATGAAAGAATGACCTATAATATGGGTATTTTGTAGAATCTTGTCATTGAAAACTGTATTGGGAACTCCTTTTCGTATTGGTAACATGTTGCATGTAAGTTACATCCTCTTGTCCTTGGTATCAAGAGGACACTTACTTCATGCAACATTTTCATAGAGGAGAGAGTCTATGAATCTTAAGAAAAGAGAAATGAAATAGAGTATTTTGTTTTTTTAATTAAATTATTGTTAATAAAAAACATAAGAATACTTTTATTAAAATAACCATGCAACAATAACACTATCAGTCTGTTCTGACACTCCCCTCCTTCGCCCCGCCAAGGGAAGCCTGTTTTTTTGCCTTTTCTTACCGTTAAATTTTACAGCAATGAAAGAAGCTAGTAACTGCCTAGGAAAGAGCATGTTTAAAGCAACAAAAAATGCATGAGCAAGGTTGAAGCAGCATTATAACAATTATTTTTACTTACGTTAAGGGTTTTGAGGCTGAATTTTTAGCACAGGATATATTTCACCATGTCTCTGACTTTCAACCACATCCAAAGTACTAATCAGCTAGGCAGAGCTTAGTATATTTTTATCAAAACAATTACCTTTTAAAGGTTCCCAAATATAAAAGTTGGGTAACATTACTACTGAGTGGAGTGGTGGGGCGGGAGTGCACTTATTACTTTTCATTAAAAAGAGAGAGAACTCAATTGTCTGGTTACTGCCCTAGAAATTCTACCAAAGCTAGAGTAATAACAACTAGTAAACTGGCATTTCCTCTCCTTAAGGACAAATGTATAGATTTTATTTTTGATGGTTATATATAACTCTATATCCTAATATACTAACATTCATCAGGGGCCAG